GCCTCGGGCCATCACAAAGGAAGGGGGAAGAGCCGGGCGGCGGTGGGGGGGGGGGGGGGGGGGGGGGGGGGGATGGCCATTGAACAGAGACCAGCCGCAGTCATCGGAGGAAGAAAGGGACGTAGAGAGAGGGGAAGGAAAGTGTTAGGGCCGCGTGCGCGGGCGCAATACAATCGGCTGGGCAAGCCCACATTTCTCAAGAAAAAAGAGGGAGAGAGGGGGAAAGGGGGGGGGGGGGTCACAACATACTAACCTTCGTGGTGGGCAGGGGCGGGCACCACCTCGGCGGGCCCCGGGGTCAGGAGCCCCTTGACGCTGACCGGCGAAGCGCCCCCTCCCGGGGACAGGTCGAACGCCTGGTGCGGCGACTGTGCCTGCAGGAGAAGCTGTGAGAAGGACCCGAAGGGGGATCCGCCCCCGGCCCCGGCGACGGCCGTCTGAGCACTCGGCGATGAGGACAACGACGATGAGGAGGAGGATGTTGATGAGGACAAGGACGAGGAGGATGATCCCGGAGCATGGTTCACCGACGTGTGGAAGTGCTGATGATGTTGCTGATGGTACGAGCGCTCCGACTGGGGCGAAGCCCCGCCGACAGCCCCGGGCCCCGGGTGACGAGAAGACACCAGCGCAATGCCGGCCAGCGCCGCTTCCAAGCGATCCAGCGCCGCCTCCTCGGCATCGGTGTCGGTTCCGGGTGCCCCGAGCAGCGCCTGCGGCCGGGCCAGCGCACCGGCACTGGCGCCGGCGCCGGCGCCGGCGCCGGCACGGCCGACCGGCCCGGCCAGCAGCAAACCCCCCCCGCTGAAAGGGCAGCCGGCTGTGACCAAGCCCATGTCAGAAAGCGACCCCGAGCCACTGGCCAACACATGGTGATGGTGCAACGCCAGCGGCGATGACAGCGACCGCCCGGCCAGGTCGCCAGGACCGCCTGGACCACCGGCACAGCCGCCGCCCATGCCGCCGCTGCTGCTGCCGCTATTGCCGCCACTGCCGCCACTGCCGCCACTGCCGCCGCCAGTGCCGCCGCTGCCAGCACCGCCCCCGGGGGCCAGCAGTGTGGCCTCCACCAGAGCCATGGCCGAGCGCAATTCATCCAAACAGTAGGACGCCGGGGTCGGGGCGTCAGTGCCAGGGGTCAGAGCTCGGCAGTCATTCGAATCGCCAGCTCCGGGCCCGGGCCCGGGTCCGGAAAACAGGCCCCCACCACCCAGTGGGGAGCTCCCCGGGCCGCCGGTCCGCCCGGACGAGGATAGCGCCAGCAACTGCCCATCAGCTGACACCGGCCGCAGACGGTCCAGCACCGCCGAAATGACGGAGATGATGGACAGCGTGTCGCGCTCGCGCGTGCTGGCCCGGTGCGCGGTCGCCGGATCGACGTGAGCCTCGCCGCCGGCCTGGGCGGTTTGCTGGTCGACGAAGCGCCGACTGGCGCGCAGGCGCTGCCGCGCGGCCCGCAGAGCCGCCCGCAGCATCAACGACAGGTCGTACGGGTGCAGCTGTGCTCCCTCGCGCACCAGCAGGGCCACCACATCCAGGTGGGCCGATGTGGCAGCTGACGACATGCCGAGTCAGTTGGAGAGGGGGGGAGAGGGGGAGAGAGGGGGGGAGGGGAGGAGGGCGCGAGGCACACACACACACACACAAGAGAGAGATTGCTGCATCAGAGGAGGAGACGCACCGAGCTGAATGGGAAAGGTGCCGTTGCAGTCGCCGACATTAATTCGAACCCCCATCTCCAGCAGGCAAGTGACTGGCGTTCAGCACGATCGGAGGGAGGGGAGAGAGAGGAGGAGGAAGACAGAGAGCTGGAAGGTCAGGAGAGGAGCTGGGGAGTGTGGGGACAGGGGGCGAGGAGGGAGAGAGGGGCGAAGAGAAAGCGAGCACGAGGGGGAGAGAGAGAGAGAGAGAGAGAGAGAGGCAGAGCAGATGACTAAGACGTACCAACATCAAGCTGGCCAGCCGCCGCGGCAATATGGAGCGGCCCACGCCCCCAATGGTCGCGCATCTTCCGGACAACACTTCGAGGGAATTGACTCAGGATGGAACGAACTGGGAGATAGCGGGGGGGGGGGGGGGGGGGGGGGAGGGGGGGGGGGGGGGGGGGGGGGGGGGGGGGGGGGGGGGGGGGGGGGGGGCAAGG